AGCCCGATGCGGGACTCGATCCCAGGACCCTGGGATCATGACCTGAGCCGAAGGCAGACGCTTAACCATCTGAGCCACCCAGGCGCCCCCAAATAACTTATTCATATCAGCTATGCTTCGATTCTTTCCTAGATCCCAAGCTTACTAGAGAAGCAGTTTATATTCATTTTTCTTCTAAGTTAACAAAACTTTCATGAAAACATGCTGTTCCACATGTGGCTTTGTGGATATAATCACATGTCTATTACTGTTTCTGTGTCTGCTTAATCTTTACGGCTACGCTGTGCCTGTCCCAGAGGCTTTATTTGGCTGATTTGTTTTCTTTACTTGGCAGTGGGAGCCATGGATAATACATAATGAGGATCTGCTTTGTTTGTTTGGTGATGATTATTCCAGTGTTAAGGTCAAGGAACTGAGTTTTAAAATGGAAAGACAATTCATCCCACTGTTATTTAATGATACCTTCTGTGTGCAAAGAACAAAATGCTACAGAATATGTCTCTATCTGCAAAGAATACCTTTCCATGAAGAGGGACAGAAGACACAACCATCATAAAATTCATCTTAAGCACAATGTCAAATCAGTGGTAGAAACAATAGTGTGGGCATTCGGGAATGGGAAAAATCACTCTGACTTGGGATGGCTAAGGTAAACTTCCTGGAGAAGTTGAGACTTAGTTAAGATCATGTAGGATGTCTGGTTAATGGCGCATCTGATATGGGTAAAAAAATGAACAAAATTTGCAATGGAATGCATTGTACAAATGTGACGGCCATTGGATACAGTGGAATGACAGTCAACCTTGTGTGGGAGAGGAGAGGCAGGAAATTGGATCAGATTGTGGAGGGTCTTTAGTTTTGTTTTTTGTTTTTGTTTTTTCCAAAAACATTCCTTGGAAGTATCCTATTTTATCAAGCATAAGGCATAAATATTAGGGCTGGAAAATCCTTCATGGCTTTGCTGACATGAAAAAAAAGAACCTGCTTTATTGATGAGCCTGTGTCTTTGTACATTATATCCATGAGTGCTATTAACTTCAGTGTTTTCTGTATGTTTCAGACATTAGTCTCTTACCATGGGGGATTGGAATTTATTGGGTGGCATCCTAGAGGAAGTTCACTCCCACTCAACTGTAGTGGGGAAAATCTGGCTGACCATACTCTTCATTTTCCGAATGCTGGTACTTGGTGTGGCTGCTGAAGATGTCTGGGATGATGAACAGTCAGCATTTGCCTGCAACACCCAGCAGCCAGGTTGCAACAACATCTGTTATGACGATGCTTTCCCTATCTCTTTGATCAGGTTCTGGGTTTTACAGATCATCTTTGTGTCTTCTCCTTCTCTGGTGTATATGGGCCATGCACTTTATAGACTCAGGGCCTTCGAAAAGGAGAGGCAGAAGAAAAAGTCACACCTCCGAGTCCAGATGGGGAATCCCGAGCTTGAATTGGAGGAGCAACAAAGGATAGATAGAGAGCTGAAGAGGTTAGAGGAGCAGAAGAGAATTCATAAAGTCCCTCTAAAAGGATGTCTGCTGTGTACTTATGTCTTACACATCTTGACAAGATCTGTGATGGAAGTAGGGTTCATGATAGGCCAATATATTCTCTATGGGTTTCAAATGCACCTGCTTTACAAATGCACTCAACCTCCTTGTCCTAATGCAGTGGATTGCTTTGTATCCAGGCCCACAGAGAAGACAATTTTCATGCTCTTTATGTACAGCATTGCAGCCATCTGTTTGTTCCTCAATGTACTGGAAATATTTCATCTGGGAATCAGGAAAATCATGAAGGCACTTTATGAGAAATCCAGCAATGAGGGCACTGAGGATGAAAGCAGCACCCCATTCCATTTGAAAAAATATTCATTGGCCCAGGAGTGTATGATTTGCTCTCCCTTGCCTAAAAGAATCCCTCTACTTCAAGCAAACAATCAACAGCAAGTCATTTGAGTCAATGTGCCGAAGTCTAAAACCATGTGGCAAAGCTCACAGCCCATGCAACTTGAAGTAGACTTGTGCTGTGTTAAAGAAGAGTGGGCTGAGAAGGATCAGCACAGTGGACAGCTCCATGCCCACAGCCCATGTCTCTGGGTAGCCAGTACTCAAAGTCAGCACCCCGGACAGCAACTGGACTGTTCCTCTGGCCTACACAACGCAGTCTCAGTCCTGCCTAGATACAGAGATAGCTCCTAGACACTGCCCATCCTATGCAATAGGAACCTGGGGGCAGTCCCAGGATCGATGACTCTCAGGAGAGGCTCTCACAGATTTACACAGTAAATGTAGAGACAGCGATGGCAGTGTGAGAAAGAGTGGGGTCTGGACAGACAGATCTTACCTGGGCAGTCACAAGGCCAGCTTTCTGTCCAGATTACTGTCTGAAAAGGGACACTGGTACAGTGACTCAGGAAGCTCCAGTTCTCGGAACAGCTCTTGCTTGGACCTTCTGCACCGGGAAAATAGCCCCTCGCTTCTGCCTTCAGCTACTGGATACAGAACATCAATCGTAAGTAAAGATGGACAGCCTGACTGAACATAGGACTATTGCAAGAGGTTTTCCACTCTAGCTACTTCTTAGCCTTCGCTGTCCAGCTACCTGGTGTGTATATGTGTATGTTAAGAGAGAGGGAGAGAAGGTGAGGGAGGTTAATTTATGGAGAGTTAAATCCTGTCATTCAATACATTCAGTTAAATTCAATTCATGAAATAAACTTACTGAAAACTTACTTTATATTATCTGGTCTTAGTAAGTGCTGGGTTTATAAGTGGATAAAATACTGTCTCTGCTATCAAAGGGCTCAGAGTCTAGATGGGAAAGTTAGTAAGCATACAAATGTGATCAAGTGTAAGGTGCCCTGTTAGAAGGGGCGGATGGGCAAAGGAGGGAGTGGTCAATTCTTTATGGATGGGTCAGGAAAAGCTTCGTAGTAGCAGTTACTTTTGAATTGAGCCTTAAAAGGTTTGGTGATTTTCTCCAGATCTGGGAGGACTGGAGTACATGAAAGAAGGCCATCCTAGTACAGGGAGCAGCACAGACAAAGGCTGAGAGCTTTGACACAGCAGGGCTGTCTGGGGAGCTATGTGTGGCTGGGGCACTGGCAGGTAGGAAGGCTATGGAGAGGGAAAGCTGGAGAAGGGGCCATGGAGGTCTTGTGGGAAGGCAATGGAGCACCCATAGAGGATGTGCAGCAAAGTGATGGGATCAGAGTTACATTTTAGAAAGCTCTGTCACAGTGTGGAAAATGGATCAGAAGAGGGATCGTTTGTAACCTTGGGTTGCCCCTGTCTCATTAAGGAAGGAGGGTGTGCTCCATTGTTTTAATAGCTCTGGCATTTAAAAGTCATATACAAAGATTTGGTGATATATTTCACAAAGACTAAAATCAATATTGTATTGATTTTAATTCTGTTTTCTGAAAAGCCAGTGTGGAATAAACATTTCCTGCTCATTGTTAAGACATGGATATTTACTGTGGACTCTTCTCAATTCTGGAAAAAAGAATGACACTTGCTTTATCCACCACTCCTAACAGCTTTTTTCCATTAAAAAGAAACAACTCCAGGTTTGGTGGGGGAACTTCCTAGTTGAGCTCACTTGGTTGAGCTCACACACTTGCTTTCTCCTGTTAATGATAATGATTAAATCTATGATGATTGAATCCCTACCCCAGTTTCATATCTCCTGTGAGCTTAGAGATATTTTGTTACTGCACTAAAGCCATATCTTGAGGAGGAATCATCCTACCTAGATTTTTCCTATAATACTTCTTTCAAACTGATACTCGTTTCTTGTCAGTGACGTCATCTACCCAGGAGACTATGTTTAGGATCAGAGTGTGGCTACTTGGAACCCACACCAAACTACAGCAGGGTTCTCAACCCTGGCTACTAGTTAGAGTCATCTGGGGGCTTTAAAAAATCTTCATGCCCAGGACCCATCCAATTCCAATTAAACCAAATCTTTGAGGGTGGGATGCACATCAGGATATTTAAGTAAATTCTACCCATAAAGTGGGGCTTGGACTTATAATTCCAAGATCAGGAGTCATATGCTGTACTGATTGAGCCAGCTAGGTGCCCCTAGGATTAGTATTTTATTTTATTTTATTTTTAGATTTATTTGAGAGAGAGGGAGACCAGGGTTGGGAGGAGCAGAGGGAGCGGAAGAGAAAGAATCTCTAGCAGGCTCCCCACTGAGAGCAAGTAGCCTGATGTTGGGCTTGATCCCACAACCCTGAGATCATGAGATCCCGACCTGAGCTGAAACCGAGTTGGCTGCTCAACCGACTGAGCCACGCAGGCGTCCCTGGGATTAGTATTTTTTAAACTCCCATGGTGATTGCAATGTGCAGCCAGGGTTGAGAATCACTATTTTAGAGTAACCTTGCCAGGGGTTACTGCTTCTTATCTCCATTTGTGAAGTCAGCAAGACAGTTTTAGTCATTTTCTCTTTCTTATACCTCTTCCCATGTGAGAGGAGTCTTTGTATTGGCAGAGAGTTGAGGGAGAGACGGTAGTGTTTAGTTAAGGCAGATTTTTTTTTAATCTTTCAGATTATCTTTTGGGGGAGGCCAGCCATTCCTACAAGCCTGAAGAAAAGATGATGAAGATGACAGGCCCCTTTCTTTTTTCTTCTTCCTCTTTCTTCCCTGTTTTTTATGTTTCTAGGAATTACAAATAATGTCTTCGGCCACAGAGATTTCCTACTTATGGTCACTTTCCCACCAAACCCCTTACAGGGTTGACAGGCCACTTCACTCCTCAGATGGTAGGAAGACTTGATTGAGGCCACAGCTATCAACCCCAGAGCTCTGTGGCTGAGACATGATGCTTCTTGCCTACAGAGGAATCTGTAATTAGAAATCAGTGCAGCAAACAGGATTATAATCATCCACTGTCAATATATGGACTGTAAACTGCTTTTTACACTGTATTGGGTCCTGGATGACAGAATTTTTCAGGCTCAGTAAGATGCATTCTGACTTCAGCAGTTGATGTTTCAGAGTGAAATAACTTCTGGTAGGACCACAGTTGCTCTGCCGCTTATGATGTGTCCCTTTGAGGGAACTGTCCTGCAAAAGAAATGCATTCTATTTTGGAAGGTCATAGAAGGCACCAGAAGGAGCCATGATTTTATGCTGAGACATTTCCCTTGCTGTCACCCAAACCCCACAATTTGTTCAAGTCCAAACTCACTGATCGCTAAATAGGCTTCTATCAAGGTTGGTTCTTTGAAGACTAAGCTGGGCATAGAAAGCAGACTTTCATTCTGGCCAAGTAAGCTTGGGGAGGAGGGCTGGCTGAGTTTAGCAACCCGCACTACCCTCTGTAAGGGAGAACTGTCCCCATTGCTGAATGCAGAGATGCTGTGGAGCAGTAATTCTTGTGCCCAGTTCCACATGAAATCACTAGGGAAGCTTTGAAAACTGCCCCAGGAAAAATCTCTGCAGATGGAGCCTTGACACTAGTACTTTTTAAAGCTCCCAGATGATTCCAATGTACAGCCAGAGTTCAGAACCATGGCCGTAGAGAAGGGAGATTTTGACATTAGGAATAAGATTGCCCTGTGAATTCTTCCAATCTTTTGGGACATTAACGTGATGTAGCTTCAAAAGGTGAGGACACTTACACTTAGTCCCACTGCCTGGGATGTACCACCCACCCTAAGACCTTGGCATGACCGATGGGGCCAGCTGTGCCAAGGCCCTACAGAGTTCTCTTGGGCCACGATCAAGGAGGGGAGAGATAAGGACGAGGTTGAAATAGGCAGGAGCTGATATTAGGGCTTTATAGGCCATGGAAAGGAATTTGGGCTGGATGGCACAGGGATGGTGGTGAGCTGAGAATATGTTTCAAGAAAAACCCCACGTTCTGGAGAGTCTATTATAGGGCTACTCTGGTCTGAATGTTTGCATCCCCTCAAAATTGATATGTTGAGACTTAATCCCCAATGTGATGGTGCTTGGAGGTGGGGTCTTTGGGAGGTGATTAGGTCATTAAGGTGGAACCCTCATGAATAGGAATAGTGCCCTTATACAAGGACCTACAGAAAGTTCCCTATCCTATCTACTATGTGAGGACACAGCAAAAAGACAGCTATCTATGAACCAGGAAATGGGTTTTCATCAGACAGGGAATCTGTCAGCACCTTTATCTTGGGCTTCTCAGACTCTAGAGCTGTGGGAAATAAGTTTCTATTCTTTATAATCCACCCAGTCTACCTGAATGGACTAAGACAAGGGGTAAGAGTACAGTCAGGGAGCCCAGCTAGGAGGCTTACACAGTGGCCCAGGGGAGAGAGGCATGTGGCTCAGACCAGGGGACCATTGTTAATGGTTTGCATGGAAGAACAGTCTTTTTCTTGTTTTTCAAATTAAAGTAATACATGCTCATTGAAAGAAATTCAAGCAATATAAAAGAACATAGAGAATAAAATGTGAACCTGACCATGTGAGGATTCATCTCTTTTTGTTCTCATCTGGATTCAGTTCCCACTTCACTCCCCAAAGACAACCGCTAACAGCTTAGGGTGTGTTCCCCCTACCTTCCTCAGGGCATTTGTCATCTGTCTTTGAGGACAAATGTATGTCCACCCATATATGGTGGTTTTTAAAAATACAAATGTGATCATGTAGATATGTAGAGATGTCTTTGCAATTTGCTTTTGCTCATTTCATATGTCACAGGGGTCTTCCCATGTCAGTACCTGTGGAACGGCCTCAGTTTTACATTAATTCATGCTTTTGTATGGTATGGATGAGCCATAAGATACTTGATGGCCAGTTAGCCATTCTAACCTTTTTCTACTGCACGCAATGTTGCAGTGGATGTTTCATACATATATCTTTAACAGGTATCTAGAAGTGGAATTATTGGTTCTAATGGACATGCACATATTACATTTTGACAGATGCTGAAAATTTTTGTTCAGGAAGGACTACACCAATTTGTTCTCTTTTTAAAAAGATTTTATTTATTTGAAAGAGAGGCAGAGAGAAAGCGCACGAGTGAGGGGGAGGGGCAGAGGGAGAAGCAGGCTCCCCACTGAGCAGGGAGCCTGACTCCACTCAGGGCTCGATCCCAGGACCCTGGGATCATGACCTTAGCCGAAGGCAGATGCTTAACCGACTGAGCCACCCAGGCGCCCTTACACCAATTTATTCTCTTATCAGCACATTAGCACCTCTTTCCCCACACTCTTATTCATACCAGCCATTATCTTTTTTCCTTCCAATCTGATGAAAAGTGTTTTCCTTTGTTTTTTTCTTCCATATTTTATTTTAGAGAGAGCACAAGTGGGAGGGGCAGAGGGAGAGGGAGAGAGACTCTCAAGCAGACTGCGCTCAGCATGGAGCCCGAGGTGGGCCTCGAGCTCACGACCCCGAGATCATGATCAGAGCCGAAACCAAGAGTTGGATGCCTGACTATACCACCCAGGCGCCCCGTGTTTCCCTTTGTTTTAATTTACATCTGTGATTACTAGTGAGGTTGTTCATATGTTTACTGGTCATCTGTATTTCCACCATGAATGATCCTCGTCTGTCTTTTCTGTTGGGATATTTGTCTTTCTTCTGATTTCTAGGAGCTCTTATATGGTATTATATTAACTCCTTGTTTGTATGTGTGTGTGTTTGTGTGTGTGTGTGTGTGTGTATATATATATATATATGTATACACATGTATGGAAAGATTTTTCTCTCAGTCT